CTTCTCGCATTAATAATTGGTCAAATCTTCCTCAGATTCAGGCCCTCACCCCCTACTAGTCGTCCGTACAATCGTCGTAATTTTTCCGCGATTTTTCCTCCTTCCTCACCCCCACAGTTAAACGCTACCTCTTGTTCGCTCCCAGGTTTACTATTCTCCAGAATAACCTTCCAATCGATATAAGGTCGTTAAAGAGATGACTGCGCTTTTATCTGAATACTGACTCGATCAAACTTCTATTTTCCTCGTCCTTCCCGGCAGCATTCTCCGTGGCCTTGGAAAAGGGTCATCGGGATCTCGGGACGTCGTCGCCAAATTACTGTATCCGCCCACATTTCTATCTCCTCTAGCGTTCCACGATCTCTTATAGAAAATTTCGTTTTTTTAAGCCATGCCTCGTGCCCTTCGTAAAACGTGAAATCCTCTTTAACCGACCTCACAGAGAAGTGGCTGGTGCCACCCTGACATGCGCGCTCTAAGCCGCCTCCGTCTCGCTTATCACCGACCTTCATCAGGCTCCCGTTCTGGCCTGTGGGACTTCAAACTCCTACCCCATTGTCAGTCCCACCCTGGGTCTGCCACCACCTAACATCCCCAGGCCCTTGTTCTACCCTCAGGAAGAATTCGCCTTTCTCCTCCAAATCCCTTCGCGAACGATAATTTTCGAGGATTTTAATGCCGTCTCCCCATTTCGACCCCTGGCGATCTGCTGACGATTACGGCGGTTTCCTCTGTTATAATTATAATAATAATTCTTTTTATTAAAGACCCGTCGGGGTCCCATCAAAGCAAGTAAAAATAAATTTACATGCGAATTTTATACGAGGTAGGCAAAATCAGTACAAAGTGCAATACATAGTTTTTGAATTAGAAGTCCGTTAAGAAAAATGGTAAGCGAGGGGTGAAAAAAACCCCACATCGAAATTTAAAAATGATTGGATTAATTTTACAGGAGAAAATAACCCTCGAAAAAAATATAAACAGAAAAATGCGGGCAGGACTGGCCTGCATGTGGCGGTATAGAATGGATTATAGTCGGAATTCGTCAGGACCGAAATAAATGTCAGCTGTGTATGGCATTGTATAATGGATTTCATGAAGGGGTAAGTAGGCGGGTCGGCCAGGACTGGCCTGTATGTGACCTTGAATAAGCCAAATAAGTGGCGAAATTGAAAACCAGTCTCGAGGCGATAGGAAACCAGATGCGGTCGGTTACATTCATCCGAGTCCATCCGAGGATGGGGCAAGGGAGATGCGACCAGACTACTAGTATATGGCGAATACAGAAGGTTTCGCCAAGAGTGTCGATGGAGCGCATTCCGTGAGGGCACGATGAAAACCAGTCTCGCCATGCTTTAGTTTATTCTGTTGGCAAAGAAACATCATGGTCACATCTCCTCGAGCTTTGACGATCCCCTCAGCCCTTAATATCCCCTCCTCGCCTGGACTCTATGCGGACTGTGACCGATCGTGTTGGCTCCTCCTTGTCTCACCACCTTGATGGCTAGATCTGCTGTCAACCCGAAAATGTAAGGATCGTATCTGCAGAGAAGAGCCCCGCCCGGTTTAGGAATGTAACCCTGACGAGGACCTGCGAGATGTCAGGACCAGAGTTTGACGAGGGCCAGCGGCGGGCGAAACGAGGATGTTCAGAGCCTGAGCGTCAGTATGACCCTAAATACTTCTCCGGGAGACTGGCTGGGGAGGATATCGCGCTTGACGACGCACACGAAACATGGCCTAAAAATCGTGGAAGGCAAAATCACACACAGAGAAAGAAATGTGTGCGAAGATTATATGGGCGGCTTACAAGCATAAGGGCTGAAATCCAAGGAGGATTTGACCAATTAATAATGCGAAAAGGAGACAGAAGCCTGTATTCTAGTCCCAGAACCCATTGGAATTTTATGTTAGCTAGCTTGCATCTACTTGAGTAGGAAGTATTTGGAGGTGCGATACTTAAGAGTCTTCTAGTAAGATGCCTTTGAACACTTTTAATTTTAGAACGACTAATCTCTCTCTTTAAACCAAAAAGTGGACAGCCATACTCGAGAACGGGAAGGACAAGCATTCTGCGAAGTCTTAGCTTAATTTTAGGACGGTAAAAATGATAAGAAAAAAGCCATAAATATGGGCAGCTTTGACCGTAATTCTGTCGGCATATGGCGAGAGATCTACATTATTGGTGTGCTTAAATCTAAGTCCTTTAAGGTGAAACATTCAGCAAGAGGTTTGCCTTAAAAACCACTGGTTGGGGTAGGCTTTCAGGACCAAAACACATATAGCGATATTTGGACAGAGAAAATTCCAGTAGGCATTTTGAGCTCCACTCGGAAAGGGCAAGCAACTTGGTATGTACTTGCTCCAGGGAATGCTGGGTCGTAGATTTGGATAATGAATATTCGCATTTGAGATTATCAGCACAAATAAAAGTTTTAGTGCAAAACCGCCGAAGCAAGCGTCACTAATGAAAAGTAAAAACAAAAGAAGACCTGAAGCGGGACCATGGAGGGCATTTGAGGCTCTCGTTGGAAAGTTAGGACCCCACTAAGACTTTTTATTTTTGAGCATGTATGTTTGACTAAGTAAAGTCAATAAGAGGACTGTGAAGTCCCAGGGTTTCCAGTTTAACGGAGTCTCCTCTGTGGCGCTTTATCAAAGGCCATACTAAGATCAAAATAAGTGACGTACAGGTCAATGATCATTGCGGCGAGAAGTTAGCAGATTGAGAAACAACATATGACACGTTTCATAGGAGCGATCGGGAAAAAGCCATGCTGGGAGGAGCTTATAACCCCATTGGCTGTACAAAAGTCAATAATTCTCATAGCAATATATTTTCTTAGGAGTTTAGCGAGGGACGGCGTTTTATGAACACCTCGATAGTTTTGAACATCAGGTCGACAGCCAGATTTAAACACTAGAGTAATACTAGAAGTTATCCAATAATCAGAAAAGAAGTCATTCTCGAGAAAACTAAAAATAATTTGCTACTTTTGACTGTCCAGCTTATCTGTTGCCACTATCCCTCGTTGTAATCGGAGAGCTTCCTTGAGTTTGCAAGCGCGAAGCACCTATGAGGCCCAGTGCATCAGTCGCGCGGCCTGTTTTATGGAACGATACACACATGAATTCATACAAAGCCGAAAGCGAATGAACGCTATTAGACCTCAGAAAATTTTCCACAGACAATATGCGACTCCATATGAAGGGGGATGTTGACGGCCGATGCATGGTTGTGTTTAAAACAAAGTTTGATTGAGTAGTTTATCGCCTCTGTCGTTTCCCACCAAATCGTTTTTAGGCAGACTTAAAAGGCATTTAGTGGTTTACTCCCTTCCCGTACTGAGTGGTAGTGAGCAGTAGCAGTTATTATATACCCTGAACACAGTGTTAATGCCTACAACTTTCTACCGTGCTAATGTGCAAAATCATCACACCTTTATCGGGTCATCAAGGGTTCTGCCTGCAGTCGTTCAAATACGCACATCAGTTTGCCTGTCGCGAACGGCAATGTCTACCGTGCGTCGCAGAACACGATAAGCGTAGGACGGTGACTTACGTGGGAAATAGTTTATTGTGTTGGCGGACTCGCGCAGCATTCACAACACCATTTCCTCCCTTACCTACCTGAACCTGGGGACAAGATAGAATCAGGACGGCTGGAGACGGGCTCAGACGCAATGAATGATAAAGCTAAACAGCCCGTCTACATATAGCACATACAACCATCCATTCGCACTATATACCGAGATTTCACAAAGTGGGAGCGGCTGGATCTCACAGGCGTGAAAGTGCCACCGGGACTGCATTAAAAAGAAGTCCCTGAGTCCAACTACCAGTCCACTAGTCAGTCATTCCGCACGAGAGTTCGGCCGTAAATTTCACTGAAGTCCACCGTGTGCTCGACAGCAGGACGGGAGCATGGGCGGTGAACTGCGCGTGAATTAGTTTACAGTGACAATAAGCTTGTGCAGAATATAACGCACACCCTCCTCCGGCATCAAGTCACAGCCAAGGAGACCGAAAGTGGGAGGGGGCGCAGAAGGCTAACACAGTGAAAAACCGCACCTAGGCGCACCTCGTATCCCCCGGTCACAACGTGCACTGACCAGGATTTTACATGACAAGAGAGAAGGCAGAGGCCGCACGGATCCGAAGTGGCACGGCGCGCGCCTGAGACTAAATTTGCTACGTCACCCTAATGTTGGCATTTTTCATTGGTGCCGATTGTCGACTACGCCTGCTGGACTCATATCTGACTCCCACATAAGACCAGTACATCAGTCGCGTGGCCTGTTTTAGGGAACGATACATACAGAAATTCATACAAAGGCGTTTGCGAATATATACCCTTTAATAAGTTCAACTTAACTGAAGGCGCTTCTGCATGTGAAGACCAGGCCGCTTCCCTTAGATGGCCTAATGGTTGATACCCAGACGGTGAGCACTTAATTGTGGAACCATATTACCTATTCGGGTCTTACAGTGCTTTTAGGAGTATCTTTAAGTACTTATTGGACTCCTGTGTGGGTACTGTCAGCGTGCATATGATCGCGTCGTTGAGCAATTTTACACAATACTACGTGTCATTGTGCCAACTGCCCCCTACGCCAACCTTTTCGGGTCTTCATTGAAGAGCCTGGATCCCATTCCGACTCCCATGCGCATGGCGTTCTACACGAAGGCTCTTAAGTTACACTTGGTTCATTTGGATTAGAACTCCTCAGCCCTTTTCCAAAATCTCTACCTATGGCATTCGCGTCTCGACTAACCTCTTCCATAGGCTGTCGCTAAACGACCTCAGTTAATCTACAAAGTTGAAATTTTATGATCTTTTTGCGGATAAGAACAGAAATATTCGGGCAACTGAATGTGCCTTTTCCTTCATTTAGCTGAGAAACGAAATTTCACGTGCTGTTTTGTTTAAACACGTGCACCCTCACTGGGTTCACCGCACTTCCGGCGATTGCTTTTACCTCTGGTGCAAGCTCATCAAAATGGTTAGTCTTTTTGTATTATTTATCCCACTGGACGGGAATTTATGTTTAATGGCTCACGAGGGTGCAGTCCACCTGTATTCTCTACGGCCAGCGTGAACGTCGCATTGCAATTTACCCAAAAATGAAATCTTGAATCGTGTAACTTTCGCCGACTTTTTCAGGTGAACTTTACGGTCGGAGAAATTCGTCGTTTGATGAATTTCCACAAAAACATCCGCAATATATCTGTTATCGCCCACGTCGATCACGGAAAATCAACCCTCACAGACTCCCTCGTCTCAAAAGCAGGCATTATCGCTGAGGCCCGTGCAGGCGACACGCGATTTACAGATACGCGGAAGGACGAACAGGAACGCTGCATTACCATTAAATCAACGGCTATCTCTCTTTACAATGAGTTGGGACCTGAACAGTTGGCGTTCGTGCGAAAAATCCAGCCGTTGGCCACCAATGAGGAGGGTAAGGAGGAGTGTGGATTTCTCATCAACCTGATTGACTCACCCGGCCACGTGGACTTCAGCTCCGAAGTCACTGCCGCTCTCCGAGTGACGGACGGCGGCTTAGTCGTCGTAGATGCAGTGTCAGGTGTGTGCGTGCAGACAGAAACGGTGCTACGTCAAGCTATCACTGAACGAATCAAGCCCATCCTCTTCTTGAATAAGTTGGATAAAGCCATAGGCACAATGGGCCAGGATCCGGAGAGTCTGTACCAGCATCTGTCAAGGGTCGTGGAAAGCACGAACGTTATCGTTGCCCAGTTTAGTGAACATGATGGTCCGATGGGTGACGTCACTGTCAACCCCGGCATTGGTACTGTAGGTTTCGGTTCCGGTTTACAGAGCTGGGCCTTCACCCTTCACACCATGGCCTCCTTCTACGCAAAGCGGATAGGTGTGCCCGCAGAGAAGCTGCTCTCCAGGCTGTGGGGCGACAACTTCTACAATGCTAAAGAAAAGAAGTGGAAGAAGAAACAGGGTGGTCCCGAGGACGTCCGAGGCTTCGTCCACTTTATCTTGGACCCAATCTGCAAAATCTTCCGTGCCGTCAACGACGAAAACAAGGCTGAAATCCAAAAACTCCTCAAGATCATTGATGTTAAACTTAGTTCAGAAGAATCCGAATTGCCTTCTAAACAGATGCTGAAGTGCATTATGCACAAATGGCTGCCGGCTGGTGATTGTCTCCTAGAGATGATCTGCATCCACCTTCCCAGCCCTGTGGTCTCACAAAAGTATCGCATGGAGCTATTGTACGACGGGCCCCACGACGACGAGGCTGCTGTTGCCATCCGGGACTGCGATCCAGAGGGACCACTCATGATGTATGTAAGCAAGATGGTTCCTACCTCGGATAAAGGTCGCTTCTACGCCCTTGGTCGTGTATTCTCTGGAAAGGTCGCTACCGGCCAGAAAGTTCGAATCATGGGAGCGAACTTTGTTTACGGGAAGAAGGATGAATTGTACGAGAAAACCATACAGCGTACAATCCTGATGATGGGTCGTTACACCGAAGCCATTGAGGATGTGCCCTGTGGAAATATCTGCGGTCTGGTTGGCGTTGATCAGTTTCTGGTGAAGACTGGAACCATCACAACCTTTGCCGGGGCGCACAATATGCGTCAGATGAAATTCAGCGTCAGCCCCGTCGTCCGTGTTGCCGTAGATTGCAAAAACCCGAGCGATCTGCCAAAGCTAGTCGAAGGTTTGAAACGGTTGGCAAAGAGTGACCCTATGGTTCAGGTAGGTTATTTTGATAAATCTGAAATTCTCTTAGATCTACACAGAGGAGTCCGGCGAGCACATCATAGCCGGTGCTGGTGAATTGCACCTTGAAATTTGCCTGAAAGATCTGGAGGAGGATCATGCATGCATTCCAATCAAGAAGTCCGATCCAGTTGTCTCGTACAGAGAAACAGTTACGGCCGTCTCTTCGCAACAATGCTTGTCAAAGTCTGCCAACAAACACAATCGGTTGTACTTCCGAGCCGAACCTCTGGGTGATGAGTTGACGAACCTGATTGATGAGGGAGACAAGTTTGCGAGGATGGATCCAAAGGAAAGAGGGCGTTTGTTGATTGATGAGCACGGCTGGGACGCAACCGACAGCCGGAAGATTTGGTGCTTTGGTCCAAACGGCACCGGTCCTAACCTCGTTGTAGATGTTACAAAGGGTGTGCAGTACCTCAATGATATCAAAGATAGCGTCGTGGCTGCATTCCAGCTGGTCACAACGGACGGTGTGCTCTGCAACGAAACCATGCGTGGCATTCGGTTCAACATCGAAGATGTTGTATTGCATGCTGATGCAATTCACAGAGGAGGTGGCCAAATCATGCCCACTGCGAAGCGTTGTTTCCTTGCCAGTTGTCTGACAGCGTCTCCTATGATAATGGAACCTGTGTACATATGCGAAATTCAGACACCTGAAGAGGCCCTTGGTGGTATTTACAGCACCCTCAACAAGAAACGGGGCGTCATTTTCAGCGAGGAAAATACTCCTGGAACCCCAATATACATTGTAAAGGCACATCTCCCTGTCAACGAGTCTTTCGGTAAGAACGTTTTTTTAAAATCTAATCACCTTCTCCAGGATTCACTGCTGAGCTCCGTGCCAACACCGGTGGCAGAGCTTTCCCTCAATGCCAGTTTGATCACTGGCAACTCTACCCTGGTGATCCTCTGGATCCCAACAGCAAGTCGGGAACCCTTGTCGCAAGTATCAGGAAACGCAAAGGAAAGCCGGAGGCGATACCACCACTTGACCACTTCATTGATAAGCTTTGAAAGTCGTGTATTTTCAAAAATATCATGCTTAAGGTTGACTACGGACTTATGAGCAGACTGGCTACTTGTGGGGATGTTTGTCAAACCACCCTTGTTCAGTAGTTGCCTCCCGCCTCCGTTCTCTGCATTGTGACCGGCTACTATTCTCGCTCCCTGGTGCTTACCCGTTCCTAGGTTTTATGTGGACGGCAAGCTAGGCTATCCCTCGCGAAACTGAGGTTCTGGCGGAAGTGGAGGGGGGCAGCTTGGTTCGACTAGACTGGACATTCGAGTATCACCAGCAGTAGAATCTATGGGGTTGTAGGTGATGCTAATGAGGTATGTGACGGCATCTGGATGTGCGTCGATCAGTTAGTTTCCTACGGCTGTGTCTGGTTGCGCTATTATCATGCGTTACGTCACTTGGCTGCTACCTTCCCATGGGGCTATGTTCTCTTACGAGTCGATTGCTTTAGTAGCTACTTATTCACAGCTCCGCGTAACGAAGGATTTGAATAGTGAGCCTTAAGCATCTGCATGCCGCTGCGACCGCTTTAGTGCGAGGTGCCCGTGTAGCGTTTAGCTCTTGGCGGTGAGGCTGTTTGGGTCGCAACTGCCGGCCACGTAACGACCAGGAATCGACCGGATTAATTGTGACAAACTGGTCGCAGGAGCGTCCCGAACACTTGGTCAGGGGTAATCTTTTCCGACCCGTCCGCGGACTTGGCGTTACCGCCTGACTTCGCTGTGCCGAGTAAATTCGATTTCTGGGAATGTATGTGCGGCGGCTTGAGTCTTTCTGGCAGCTGATGGTGTGGATCTTCTGTTGCGGGTATTGGCCGCTGATAGCGGGTGTCCTCGCGATTCAGCAGCTGTCACTTGGAGTTTTGTGACCCGATGACTTCGAGGGTCGGTAGTCCAGTCGGCTATCCTAATCCGGTTTCATTAGTGCGGATTTATAGAACGTACGTTTTCTAGTGACAGGGCTGCATTTTTGGAGTGGTCAGCCTACTGACTGACCGGAAAATACTCTGGGCGGCAGCGTTCTGACTTAAGTGTCATTTGGTTTGGTTTTTGTGGTACAAGGCCGTTAGTTTTCTGATCTCTGGGGTCGCAGGTTGGCAGTTTTTGCGCCCGTTTCTCAAGGTTTGCTGTTTGGACTGCCAGCCTCTGTTCCTTATATGCGTCGATAAGCGTACGGCCTGTTGCCGGTACTGAGGGGAAGGTGTCGGTAGTGTTATTAGCACCGGCAAAACCCATCGAAGTCTGGAATTGAGGGTCCTTCCGAGTGAGTTTAGCTTAGTAGCATGACGCGTGGCTCCTTTTACTGCACCCACGGACCATCCGAGGGGTTGACGTCTGCCGGCGCCACTGCGAATCTGGTCAAGATCCCACCACCTGGGTGCGGTTCGTCCGAGATTCTAGAAGCATAGAGAAGCCTACTACAGGGACCTTGGGGCACTAAGGTTTTGTGTAGTCACGCGTGTGCGCTGACCGTCGCCGGACTTCCGGCCGAACCTCGCGGACGGTCTGTCCTGTCACATCAGGTGTTTCAGAGATGCAAGCGAGTTTGAGATGAAGCTACTGCAGTGTGCGCTACTCACCAGATCCATGGGGAGTTATGCTATACGGCACTTGGTAACCGCGGATTTGACGAATGTATAATGGTTGATTTCCGAAGTTGTAACAATCCAGGCCAAGGCATGATTGTCATCCGGGGCAGACTATCACCACTTAGTTTGGGGGACAACTGACGCTCTGTAGTTGGTGCTGGCCGCTTGTGGGCACTCTTGCAGTGTTTAAAGGGAATTCAAGACGGTATATCCCGTGATTTGAAGCAACTGACTGACGGGTTGAATGCGTTACAAACGCCGCTTTAGGCAACTAATTTAGAAATCTTATTTTCTCTTATGATGCAACAGTTGTTCCTCAAGCTTGCTTTCCACCTATTTTTTGTCGTAACCGTTCCTCTAGCAGTTGACACCATGTTTGTACCAGAGGTTTTGGTAATTATCGCCAATCGGGCCAGCCCTGACTTTGTGGCTGGGGGTCAGTTGAGCGATTTAGGGTTACCTCCGATCATTGTGGTGTGTTGTGGACTAACAGCGAAGACCAGGGGTTGGTAGGATCTGTCTACGGCTTATTTGGCGCCGTTAGGGACACGTCAACCATAGCTGGTAAAGCGTGGGCTCCGAACGCCTATTAAAGTGGTTTAAATTCTAGTGATAGCAGCTGGCTAATTCTCTGTTCCTCGGTGAGCGTGGCGATCGCATGTCAGACCTGTTCACAGAAGGTGGTACGGCCACCTCGTTCTGCCCTGAGGCCCCGACGCGTGTCGAGGAGTAGTCAGCAATTTGGAGATTTGCCAGAAAGGACACGTGAGATTGGTATGACTATAGTTGGTCATGTCCTTGTCCCACCCCGAGCATAGTAAAAATGTGAACCCAGGCTTAACCGGTACCGAGTCCGGCGCTCCACCACTCAGTCGCTTGCTCACGCCAACCGCTGTCGGAAGTGATGGACTCTTCTGCTGTATCTCCAGCCTGGGGATCGCAGGGAGAACGTGACACTCGTGTGTCATCCTACAGATCTTCGGGGTCAATGGATGCCGGGCCCGTTATCCTGTTCACTTTGCTGCGGAAATCCGTACTTCCCTCTTTACCGTCTATACCAGTCGTTTTTTGGTCGACAGAGTGACGTCCGCACGACAGATGTTGGCTCTGGATGCGAATAGAGATAACGTACGGGCGTTGTCGATCGTTTGTTTGCCTAGTCCGATTTCAGTCATGATTGCGCCCGTCCGGATCGGTTCGGTTCCTCCGACAAAGGATGAGGAGGAGACGATGCCACCATGACAACAACCGGCAACCCCATGATGCAGCGCGCTGGAAGTCAGTGAAACTCAAGCACGGAGAAAAACCCTTAAATACTGTGACGTGTCGCACGTAAAGCACCTCCGTTGATGGAAGCTCGTTTGCTTTCGAGACGTCAGGCCAATATAACCCTGGTTCCTGTGGTCGCCTTACCTTCTCATATATATATGCTTCACGAAGCAAACAAGCTCCGTATGGGTGGCAGAGTTCACGAACAGGCACCCAATTAGTAGGCCGAAGTCGTCCAAGTCATAATAGCAACGAGGAGGGAAGACAGATCATGCGGGTAGATTGATACAGTATTGTTTTGGGCTTATTCTGCCTTCATCCAGCCAATCATAACCCTGACCAGCAGCTGGGTCCAGAAACACAAACATGCGTACAGACACACCTGGCGCAGTTGGTCCATCACTGGGATCTACCAGATGGGTCATAAGCACTTAATCGAATGGAAGTTCATCAGTGCCTCGCCACCTGTCATTCTCTGTGGCTGCAGATCGGGTATTTATTCGATCAGAAATGGGCGCACACCGATCTATTGGCTTCACGAAGCAAACAAGCTCCGTATGGGTGGATTTATATACAGTGCGTGACCTATCTCATGAAATGTTGGCTGAAATTCTGAAATACGTTTTCGATTAGGAAGGATTACTTGGTCGCGGTTGTGATACTGATTATCTTAAGGCATACTCTTATAACAATTTGGACTCGGCAGGATGTCGGCTTTAAAATGCACTTCTTTTCAATCTCCTGTAGAAAGCGTGCTGGGTTTAAAATGACTACTTATGTAGCATGCATTTTTCCAATTGCTTTTCGATGGTCTTGGAAATTCAAATATATTTTATGGAAACCACGAACAAAATGTGCTTTCTTTTGGTCAATCAACAGAGAATCACGTCTTCTTTATATTTTATACTTAAGAAAGGAGTATAATTAGGTTTTAAAAAGTTTTATGATTGCCGAAAAATTTGGAGCCTGATCACTCGTTGCATTAGCGCTTAGTGATTACACTCTACAAGGTCCACACGTTCCGCGTAAAGAAAATCACATATTTTTGTATGCCATTAAAGAGATAACATACAGAGTCCATAAATGTTGCAATGGATGCGAACCATGTTGTACATTTCATGAGGAGCAGTGGTAAACGGCCAGGTACGATGCTATGTGAATGGACGAATCGCGGTCTTAAAAAGTCTCATAATTAGAAACTTTTTTAAAACCTAATTATACTCCTTCCTTAAGTATAAAATATAAAGGAGACGTGATTCTCTATTGATTGACCAAAAGAAAACACATTTTTGTATGTGGTTTATATAAAATATATTTAAATTTCCAAAACCATCGAAAATCAATGGGAAAAATGCATGCTACATAAGTAGTCATTTTATACCGAGCACGCTTTCTACAGGAGATTGAAAAGAAGTGCATTTTAAAGCCGCCATCCTGCCGAGTCCGAAATGTTAGTAGAGTATGCCTTAAGATAATCAGTATCACAACCGCGACCAAGTAATCCTTCCTAATCGAAAACGCATTTCAGAATTTCAGCCAACATTTCGTGAGATTGGTCACGCACTGTATGGCAAACGTATTATATCGTACTCTGGACATAGGTACTAAACTAAAAGCCCAGACACGTGTTTCACCGGTATTCTGCCGCTGCGTGACGCAGCTGCGGGGGTTCGGCTCCTCAATGGGTTCCCCAGCGTTCCCTATGCGGTTTCTGGTAATATGAACTCCAAAGAATCAAGCGAATAATTTCAGAAATTATTCAGTGCAGGACATGGAGTTTGGTCTCCGTGACATGACATTTTAGGGTCAGACCCGAAATTTCAATGGACATTTGAGTCGAAGGCAATCAACTGTTGTGCAATAACCACGTAATGCCCGTATATGAAGCTAGCTATATACATATATAATGAGAGAGGACCGCTCACCGATCGTTCTAACGGAACTCGCACGTCCTATTGTGCCTTACGGGCTCTCGAGCCAAACCAGCAGCCGAACAGCGGCGCATGAGCGCTCCTCTACCATTGTATATCCCCTATCGAAACCCACAGGATAACGGGCCCGTGACCCAGTGGTTAGAGGCGCAGGACTTCTAACGAACAGATCGCCAGTTCGAGCCCCAGGTGTTTCACACTTCGGGGTTGGGTATGACTGGCTGACAACGGCTAATAAGCCAGAAGCGGCCATTCTAGTCTCCCTTGTCTTTCTCGGTAATATCATTCTGTCTATATCATGCGCCGCTGTGGGGCTGCTGGTTGGGCTCGAGAGAGAGAGAGAGAGAGCCCGTAAGGCACAACGGAACGAGTGAGTTCTGTAAGAATGATCGGTGAGCGCCCCCTACCATTATATATATCAGAGGGGAGACAACAGAGTCTGGGGGGTAGATTTATACAGCACTGTTTCGGGCTTGTTTGCCTTCATTCAGCCGATCATAACCCTGACCACCAGCTGGGACCGGTAGCGCAAACATGGGCTCACACACCTGGCGCGGCTGGTCCAGAAACGGGGTCTACCAGATGGGTCATAAACACTTCATCGAACTGAGGTTCATCAGTGCCTTGTCACCTGTGCGTGTGTTGGTAGACAGCCCAAGACATAATGTAAAGGCAAATAAGTTCCTTGGGGAAGTCTCCCATCTTTCCTTCGATACTCTTATTCACTGTCCGGCGGGGTCTCGTAGGTCAAGTGGTTAGAGCGTTGGCTATACCAAAGCCTTCTCCTTACTGCGTGGGTTCGAATCCCACCGAGGCGCCGAGTTTTTCACAGCTGAATCAAAATCTGCCAAAATATCTATGAATATCTATGACTTATACACTGTGTTTAATTCACCTTGCCCATTAATGCTCGGGTATTGAAGTGCGTCTTCGAGGAATTATCGGCGTCTGCCAATAAATGCTCTTGTGTGCGCATAGAGTCCGATTTTGCAGTTTGGCCGGAGTACACTGCGTCTCAGGCGTTGCATGGGATCTGTTAGGCGACTTATTGCCCAAATTGTCAACCCTGTCCTTAGGGTGGGCAAGCTGGGTACGCAATTTAGTCACCAAATTGTGCGTCCCACACGCAACCTGACGACCGACATTACGTATCCGCCCTAAAGGAGTGATGTAGTATATACATTTGGGATACCAATTTCCAGTCCTTTTACTTATAAAATAGAGGCAAAAAGTGTTAGGAGAAATTGACGAAACTTTTCGACGAGACACTGTTGATGCAGAATTTGAAGACACCTCATCTCCTGGTGTCGTGGAGTATTACGAGCGCGTATGGGATTGCATCATATCTGATGCAATTTCGAATTGTTTTGTAAAAACGAAGCTGCGAGTTGACATTCTTAGGGTAATTGCGGGTGGGAAATATGGTCCCGACATTCTATTTTTGCTGCAAGTTTTTTCTATGGAGAATTCGATGAATGCGTTAAAATTGAGGAGGAAAATTCGGAGGAATAGAATCAAACCGGTCTACAGGAAGTTAATCAAGTCATTGGGGGAGACGTTATTTATCTAAACGGTGTTGATGGTAATAGCGATGCAGAAGGATTTTAGTTCGCTCCGCTTCATTCGTTTGTGAGATTGAATGATTTTCATCAGATAATTCTTTTCATTCAAACAACAACAACAACAACCACCGCCGCCGCCGCCGCCGCCGCCGCCGCCGCCACCACCACCACCATCATCATTAGTCAATCGATCATCCTTTACCAGCATCGAGAAGACCACAGTTAAACAACATACAGAGAGTGAATGTCAACATACTGCATAAGATCGTTCTCCAATGAATTTTAGAACTGACTCGCCCTACGAGCCAGCGACTGAGGAACAATGCTTACCTAGTCTAATGTTTACATTTCAGAAGGCGCGTTTTATCCAGTCATGCCCTCTAGCGACAGATTATTTCTGGACTTCCTATAATCACGCAAGATGGAGAGTCCATCTTCAGCAGCCCTCGGGTGTCTGTTTTGAAGCCTATCCACGAAGTCCATCCCATCGCAATATTTATCACTGGGCGTAGAAGTGGTAATTGTATGCGTACAACATCAACGACTGCGCAGTCGATGACATGACTGGAGCAAACATACAGCGGAACTTAGGTATCTTCCGCTGCGCCCATACAAACGCTAGTGTAAGCAGAATGGCCATCGTTCATGAAGCACCGGCGATAGCCGACAGTAGTCATGGCTCAGTTCGCATGGAATGGTATCCAAGAATAAACTAGACGAAATCACCTATGTCTCCATGGTGAACTTTCCCGTTGGATGGTTTAGATTTACTGCCTGGAGCAACGAGCCCAGCACTGCCCCCATACAAAGGTCCTAGGATTTCAGTTTATAAACATTGACTCGTTCATTCGCGAATTCTAAAACGTGCCTGGAGGTGAGTAGTGGCTGTTTCTTTCCTCAGTATTTGGAAGTGCTTATCAAGGGTCGTCTGCGCTTACGAAATTGCAAACCCACCTACCTGGCAAGAATATCCTGTGTTCCTTATCCTAAGTCCTGCCGACAAAAGTAAAGACTTCTGCGTCCTCAAGACGACGATATGCTACCAAAACGGATTGACGGCTATCTTTTGCGCCTTCTCCTGTGAAGCAGAATGTATCGGTCGAGCAAGTTGGCTGCACTTTCGAGGGGGGGGAAGGGGGGGATGAAAGGTCTATGAACAGCTTTGTCCTCACGCATCTACTACAAACTGGGCACTCTTTCGAGACTAAGCAGGTCGCCCGGGTATTCTTCTTCTTCTTCTTCTTCTTCTTCTTCTTTCTTCTTCTTCTACTACTGACAGTTCGACCATCGGTTTCGATGATGTCCACCGTGTGCCCCACAGTTGCAGCACCAATGGGAGCAGGGACGGTGGCTTACGCAGGGGTTTATAGTGCCGGTAGACTTGCGTAGCATCTACCTACACTCTCTCCTCCTCCCCCGCCTGGACCCGGTGTCAAGACAGAGTCAAGAAGACCGGAGTCGAGGGAGGCCGCAGGTGGATAGCTCGGACGGATCCTCACCTTGGCGTTCCACCACACCCCCTGGTCCACACAGCAATAACCAGGATTTCAACCAACACAAGAGAGATTTGGAGGCTGGCACGGCCGAAGCCGCACCTGGGCGTGCCGCCAACGCCTGGCTCGGATCCCACACTGTGGTGGGAATGCCATAAAGGCCACATTGAAAAGGAGCCATTGCAGCCTGACTCTCAGACCGCCTCCAGNACGGTGGTTGTGGATACGCGCGATTTGAAGTGCATCCGCCGTTGATTCAGGAGGTGACCGTCCGTCCTGTAGGCGATGCGGATCCCGGGGCGTTCGTCGCGGTAGGCGTCCATCAGCATGGCAGAGAACATAAGACTGAAGAGGGTAGGCGCCAGTACGCAGCCCTGCTTCACTCCATTGGTCACTGCGAATGCCTCTGAGACAGCTCCGTTGTCCGTGACTCGCGCCATCATACCGTCGTGCAGCTGACGCACCATCTGAGTGAATCGCTCCGGACAGCCGAATTTCTGCATGATCTTCCACAGTCCTTCACGATTCACCGTGTCGAAGGCTTTCGTCAGGTCCACGAAGGTAGAGTACAGGTGGGTCCGCATCTCCTGACACTTCTCCTGAAGTTGACGGGCGGCGAAGATCATATCCGTGGTCCCACGATGACAACGGAAGCCGCATTGGCTTTCCGGCAGAAGGCCCTGTTCCAGATGGTTATTGAGGCGGTTGAGGAGGATTCGTGCGAAGATCTTCCCGGCGATGTTCAGCAGGGAGATGCCGCGGTGATTGTCGCAGACTTGGCGATTCCCTTTGCGCTTGTAGAGATGCACGATGGTTGCGTCTTTGAAATCTTGCGGGACTTCACCTTGACGCCACATCTCTTGGAAGAGCGCAGTCAGGTGATCCATTAGTTGGGGACCTCCGTGCTTGTAGACCTCAGTAGGGATCGCGTCCGATCCGGGTGCTTTCCCGCTAGAGAGCTGCTGCACGGCCCTGATGGTCTCCTGGAGAGATGGCGGGAGGTCGAGGTCCACGTTGGTCTCCACTTGCGGCAGGCGCTCGATGGCGGCGTCGGAGATGACGGAGGGGCGGTTGAGGACGCCTCGAAAATGCTCGGCCCATCGCTGCAGGATTTGCGTCTTCTCAGTCAGGAGAGTGTTGCCGTCGGCGCTGAGGAGAGGAGCAGTGCCCTTCGTCGGCGGACCGTAGACAGCTTTGATCGCAGAGAAGAAGTTCTTCCATTCGTTGCGGTCCGCGTACCCTTGGATCTCCTCAGCTTTGCGAGCAGTCCAGGCGTCCTGCATCTCGCGCAGTCGTTGCTGAAGTTGGCGGCGACTGCGGTAGAAGGCAGCTTTGGTGCCCTCAGTGGGGTGATCTACGTAGGCTTTGTGTAGGCGGTTCTTCTCAGCTAGCAGATTTCTGATGGCGGCGTCGTTGTCGTCGAACCAGTCCTGGTCTTGGCGGGGAGCGCGACCGAGGACGGCGAGCGCCGTCGACTGGACCGTGTCTCGCAGTTGACACCAGCGGTTCTCCACGGAAGCGTTCTCGGCAGCGGCGGCGTCGTCGGCGGCAGCGATAGGAAGGTTGTCTAGCCGTTGAGCTAGCTCATTGCTGAAATGGAGATGGTGAGCGGGCAAAGACAACAAGGCAACATTCAGCTTACCTGGGGGTCGCTTACCTTGTGGTCTCCTGCGAGGCTGTAGGCGAATACGCATCTTCGAGATGACGAGGCGATGGTCCGTCCACCCGTCAGCACCCGCGATCGCCTTCGTCACCAGCACGTCCCGCTGATCTCGCCTCCGGACGAGGACATAGTCCAGCAGGTGCCACTGGCGCGACCGAGGATGCCTCCAGGTGGCCTTCTCTCGCTCCGGCAGACAGAAGAACGTGTTCGTCAGCAGGAGGCGGTGTTCTGCGCAGGTGCGGAGAAGCAGCAGACCATTGTCGTTTGAGCCGCGGAGACCGTGGGGACCCAGCACTCCTCTCCAGGCAGTATGGTCTGTGCCGACGCGGGCGTTGAAGTCACCAAGAACAATCAACTTGTCCGCCTTCGACACAGTTGCCAAGAGGGCGTGCAGGTCCTCGTAGAATTTGTCTCTGACGGCGTCGGGGTTGGTCATCGTCGGAGCGTAGGCGCTGACGATGGTGGCGAATTTGCCTCCCCAGAGAGGCAGGCGGAGGCTCATCAGGCGATCGTTGATGC